CGCCACCTCCCTCACAGCCTTCATATATATATATATATATATATATATATATTGTTTGAGTTTATTTCAGTATCATTTAGTATCAGAGCTAGTATAAACCCTAGTATCATCATAGGGTTACCCAAATCCCCCACACCCTTTTAATTTTTCAAACCGGTCACCCAAAATTTTTCTTTCCACTCTACTTCACCCCGTACACCCTCTTCTACATACCCAAACCATATCTATGCCATCGAGGACATAATTGGCTAAAACATGATCGGGAGGAAATTACACGATGTCACTTATGAGAGATCCGTAAAGAGATGTCCAAAAACTTTATAAGGAAGACCTTCAACTTCAGCAGGGGCTCACCACCTTCGAGGAAAACAATCCCGAGGGGTCACACAAGCTTCATTAGATTCCAGAGATGAAGAACCATCACCGTGAAATATTAACATGAAATATTGGAGAAACCAAAATTTTGAAGTAAAGGTAGATTTGTCAAAATTTGACGGTCAATTGAATCTGGACGAGTTCATCAAGTGATTCTGAACCTTGGAAAGTGTCTTTGAGTACCAGCCACCAGGCCTTCCCCCCAAACAAAATTGTGAAACTAACTACCAGCAAGTTAAGGAAAAGTGCGTCTCAATAGTAACAGAAGTTGAAGATTCTTTAATAGAGGAAAGGGAAGAGAAAAATTACTACTTGATCTAAGATGAAATGAGAAATGCAGTATCAGTACCTACTAGCTCATTATAGACAAAATGTTTAGGGCCTAGCTTCAAAAGAGAAGAGACAACACCACCTAATGACTGTGAAATCTTATAGATAAAGTTCAACCCTAGAATCAAGTGCCATAGTTTTGGGTATAGCGAATCAAATGGCCCAAACAAGAGATGATCTCTTTTACTGATTAGAGAACAATTGAAAAACTAAATAGTAATATAAAATAAAATGACTTTAAATAGGATTATCAACTGCCAAGCTGCCAACTAACGAGAAAGAGATGTCAATGATTCAACTTGAACTCATGAGAAAAACTCCTACTGAATTAATAGTAGTTATTCTACAATGGATTGAGTTTGAGGTAATTGACGTTCATGCAGAGTATGAGGTCGTGATGACGAGCTTTCTTTTTGCGAGCATTGAGAGTAGCATCAGCAGGACTGACATTGGATGTCCAAAAAAAACAGCGAGTTTGAGGTACTGTTAAAAAACATGGGGCAACCTCAGATAAGAGAATTTCAAAATTTTCAGATATACTGCCCACCTCCTAAGTTGCCCTTACAAATGAAGGTCCAACATATTCAAGATAAGAAACTTGTGAGCTACTTCTAGGATACCATATAGAGTTGTTCGGGCATTAAATTCAGCTCAGTAGTATACCCCCTGATAGGTGGCCAGATAGAAGGAGTGCCCTATAGTATTGGAAATCATCCTAGAAATTTTATGGGAAAGAATATGCTACAGTAGGATTCAGGTCCTCTTAAATAAGAAGAAAACTCTCCTAAGTGATTACAGTTTAGTGTGGTCTACTTTGTTATATATTGTATTTTAGAAATGATTCCTTCTGACAGACTAGTTTATCAGATAAACTCAACCGAGCATGAGAAATGGGAGAAGCAGACTATATATTTAATTGCTCGAGATTTGGTTCATGAGAATAAATACTTACTCTATCAGAGGATGCTTTGACATGATAGTGCCTACAAGATTGACTTACTAAGAGATTACTTCATTTTCACCATCTTCAACTGATATGATGTAAAACTGTGAGCAGACAGAAGCTTCAGCAGATGACGTCGAAGCTCACTAAACCCTGGGAAACTAGTGCAAGCTTCTACCGCTACAACAGCGGATGCAACACCTGCGTCGCTTGAACGACACAAAGTAGAATTTAACCATGCCACTTTAGATTTCCTTTTATCTTTACGTTTAAGTATTTGTATATCTATATTGTATAAAAGTTTGGAGAGTCAGTTTTGTCGTGTTTTCTGTCGGGATAACCATCAACATCTTTATGTTTCCCTTCTAAAGATATATCCAAAAGCGAGTGGTGTTTGGATTGTATCTCATTCCGAGGTAATAACTGTCCTTGAGTTTCCCTTCCCTCTGCAACCTTCCCTATGTTGTTGTTGTTGTCATACCTACTGCAGCCGCCTGGAAAAGACCCTCCTCGATTGTTTTCCTGTAGCTTCCTGTTGTTCCAGCCTTCCATCCTCGCTGTCATCACTTTTCCAGTCTCTCTCTTCGTTGTAGCTACGATTCTAGCTCTCCCGCTTGACATCATTGTTCCAGCTATCTAGGACCCCTCCGCTGGCAGGCTTGCTGCTACTCCAGACCCCAAGACCGCCCCCTCCGCAACCTTACTAATGTCTCAACCTTTCCCAGCCTTCCCAGCCACCGCTCCTCCCCTTCCCGTGCGCTGCCACCCCATGACAACAAAGATATTGCAGTTGTATTGTTATTCCAACCCTACCGCTTCACTGTCGTCACTTCGCACACCCTTAACCGCTCTAACTCCTGACCACCTTGTTGCCGCCCATGCTAGCAAGGACCTACTGTTCTGTTGTTGCATCCACCCACTTACTCCACTTTCCAACCTTGCCGCAACCTTTCCGAGCTCCCAATAGCCACCATCACCAACTTCAAATCACCCTAATCGCGTGTTATGTGTCGTGTGTGTTGTTATTTTCAATTTCGATGTGTCTGATTGTAAATTCATATTCAAATTTAATAATAATATTTAGTTTTCTATTGGTGTTTGGCTTAACGCCAGTATTACTAGATTTAAAGAATGTACAAACAAAAAACAGCATTTAGACCAAGGTTTGGCTAACTGCCATCAACTAAATTTATTTATTTGATCAACTAAATTTATTTATTTGATCTTACATATCCAAAACTAAGTGACAATTTCTAAGTCATGGTTGCACATTGTACCCCTACTTGATGCTAAACAATTAGGGATTGTTCATAGAGAGGTACACATACTCATGGTTATATACAATTGTGTAATTATTTTCAGCATTCATTAGAAACATTAATCATAATTTAATCATGAGTTATAAAGGAATGGATTATTAGCAGATGAATTCATCAACTTACCCCTAACTGAACCCGATTTTCATCCTTATATACAGGCCAACCCACAAATCCATCTTTTTTTAGAAATGACATAGAAGGCATATATGGTAAACATATCATTGATAGAAAAAAAAAAAAAAATAGAAATCATAAAAGGATTCACCTTTTCAGAATGTAAGGATTATGGTCTCCTTCAATTGTCAATTTATCAATGTTATTTTTAGCTCGAAGAAGTGTACCGTGGATATGAGGATGAGGTTATATAGGCAGTGGAAGAGGGAGAATAAAGAATAGCACTAGGATAATATTACTTAGTGAACTCAAGATACACTGACACGAATGAGCTTACGGTACCCTTAAGAGGAAAACAATGTCATTAGAATGTGTTTTAGGGAAGCACATCTCATAAATACCAAGTCAAATGATATCATTTGAGTGTTTAGCGTGGAAGCACATCTCAAAAATATTCAGCAAAATGTCGGTTGTATTATCACTATCATGCCAAATTACAGAGTATAGTGGAGAGACCTCCTAAAGTGAGATTTTAAGTGCCAACGCACACGTGACAGTTTCCTATGACCATTCAGGTAGGTATTGTGCTTTATTTATAATGATATATAATTTTATTAGTTGATACTACAGACACAATATATATTTTAACATGTCTCAGTTTGAGAAAGAGCAAAATACCAAAATAATCCCAGATTATTTGCATGATGTCAATTTTAGTCCCAGAGTTTATAAAAAGGCCGAAATAGTCCTCATATCTTTAAATTGGCGCTAAAATAGTCTTCATTGAGGATTATTAAAGGATTTTTTTTTCTATTGGATAAGTTACATAGCATAATTCTTATGTATTAATATCTCGCGCCTAAACTTTCACATTTACATATTCAACACTTGGTGTTTTAAAACATCAATGTCGGTCCCAAGCCCAAATGAAAAAGATTGAGTGAATTTTTGAAAAAGTTCCTTTGTGCTCTGCACCAAAACTTTTCTAGCTCCGCCACTGAAACCAAATAATGAAGTATGCAGAATAACAAGTAGTTGAGACTAACCTCAAGAATCCGTCTCCATTCTTCCCCTGTCAGCTGAAAAGAAAAAGTAATACTCAATTGAGAAGCAAACATCTAGGTCTAAAGGAAGAACACGAACAAATAAATAATAAAAAAAAGATAACTTTTCCCGATATATTTGTTTGCATAGGACAATAGATAAGTAGAAAGTAAAAGAGAAAGAAATTTATTTCCAATACAATGCTCTCAGCCAGTAGTTATAAAACAGTTTCAAAAAAACCTGCAAAATAGATAAATTAGCATGTCTCTAACAAAATGACAAAAGAGTAAAGCTTACACTAAGGAATGTGATGTGCTAACCTTGTGCAGCACAATATCGAATGGACCTTGCTCTGCAAGGGGCCTTTGGAGATCGATAGCAACAAAAAAAATCCCCTTCCTCCTGTAAAGTCGTTTGAAAGTACTTGATTAAGCACATAAAGAATGAACTATAAAAGCATACAATTTCTACATAAAACATCTAAAAAAGAAAAAAAAAAAAAAACTGTCATACACTGATACATTTTGTATCAATATGTGGCTAATTTTAATACATTGTGTTCATAAAATCACATGAAAACCCGCTCCCCCATGATTTCAAATAGTCGTATTAATTCTAGTATGTATTTCTATCATACTCATACCAGTGAATGTCAAATAATTTAATTGCATTTGTCTTCCATCCTAACCATATTAAGAAAAAAACTTCCAAATATTTTATATGGTCTAATAGACACTAAGGAAGTTTCTGCAAAAAGTTCATTACTTAATTTTTCTGTCCTTATTATATTTGTGAAAATCTAATAGTTCAGTTATATTTTGTAATTATTTAGTTTATTGTCTTTTAAATTTAATTGTCGTCGAATAGTTTTATTTATAAAGGGATAACACATGACACATCAAATTAAGAACACATGTGGCAAAATTAATCTCATCTTGATACAAAGTGCATCAGAATATCCTAATAGATTTTTTTACCTTAAATGTGACAATTATGATAATCAAATTAAGGCTAATACATGGCAGATGTTCAAAGAAATGCAGACTAAAGATCCAAAATCACATTTGAAAGAAATGAAATAGTATGTAACACTACTAAAATAGCACAAATCGCCACAAATACTAAAGTAAATATAACTATCATTTAATCTAAAGAAAAGAGTTAAGCCTGCATTAAAGAACAGGGAAGGTTAAGGTTCCTTTTGATCAACTCTAATTATTAAATATTCTTTTAATAGAAATATAGTGGAGCACCAAATCTAAATGTATCGCCTAATGCCATGCAGGAGTCCAACAAGATAATAAAGAAAAATACTTCTTTTCTAATCAACTTGTACGGCAATTCCACGATACACTATTAAAATATATGTCAATGCCATCACAGTTAGTGAATTGAATAGATATTTTTATTTATAACACGTCCTCATCCAGCTATTATATATGCAGCAGGATAATCTTATTAATCCAGATTCAAGATAGCATCAATTGATCCACGAGATAAACTCAAAAAACTTTAGCTTTACCAATACAAGAAGCTTACGTTTACAAAGTCAAAATAGAATAATATCAAGAGCTATTTGTAAGGACAAAAGATATCTTTGAAGCACAAACTTCCAAAAAGTTTGCCAAAAAATTCACTTTGAGTGTCTTCACCCACAAGATTAAGAAGAAAAGAAATTTAGCAAAGCCTCTTAGCAAACATGAAGATGATCTGACACATCACGAGGTAGCTGAGGGGGGAAAAGAGTTAGGTTTCGTACAGGATTGAATTGGTTTACCATTTTGAGATCGATTGAGATGACCGAAGAGAATCAAACGCTGAAAGAACGTTTGGTTGAAAAAATGCACAAGGGCATGATTAAGAAAAAAACAAAATGGAGGCAGGATTGCATAAAAGCCACAAAATTCATGATGAAATAATTGGTCAGAATTGCCCCATCAATGAGAGGCTCAAATCTTCCTTCAAATAAAAAACAAATGATAAAGTAAATAAAATAGTTCTAAAAAAACTAACTAAAGAGAAATGCTAACAAAAAGAACCACTAAACAATCTTGTTTCCCCATTTTTCCAGTCCGTCTGCAATACCACCCGAAGCCAACGCTCTATGGATGGAACAAGAAGAGAGGGAAATTGTAGCAATTTGGACAAAAAAAACAAAAACACATTGGAGAAAATCAGACTCCCTAGAATCAATGAGTTTTACTAGGAATGTTTGCACCATGCTACTCTTACGGCAGGGATAGCATAACATGGAAGCCGGAAACGGAATCGATCGATCAAACAAAGCATACCCCCATCCTTCCGTTTCCAGGAACAAACAGATTTCAGGGCGTATGAAACAAAGAAGACTGCAATAACAGTTTACCAGATCAAAATAGCATATACCTCAAAATTCTTCAATTTTATACGCAGACACTTACCTTGCCAATCCCTCCAGCTTCGGCTGCAAGAAGCTCTTCACCTTCTTTGACGTCAGGGCGTAACCAACGACAAGCTTCTGCTGCGGAAGAGACATCGGTACTAATCCTCTCTCGCTCTCATTCTCCTCCACATTCCCGCAATCTTCGTTGAACCTCATGAGCACCCTCTACCCTAGGCCCAGCCAAAACCAACCAAACTCCCAGCGAAGGATCCACGAAAAATCAAGCGACAAATACTCCCGCGTCCCCCTTACACAATAAAATTTTATTTATAATTGTACAGAAAATAGACCAATGGTTTCTTCTCCGATTGATGAAAGCACGGAGCAAGGAATCTGAGAAAAGAAACCCTAGATATTCCCTCGCCCAGTGACAACAAGTCAACAACGATAGGAGCGATGAAGAGATCTGAGAGCAGCTGCAGCTGCGAGTGGGAAGGAAGAGTGGGCTGCCTCCCCGTATTTGTAGACGATGGGCTCGGATGAAAGAATGGAGGAATCCAAGCTGTTGCGGGAGGGATTTTACATAATTATTAGAGATTTTACGTGACAATCATTTAAATTATTAAATATAATATTTTAATAATTTAAATTTCAAATAAAATATTTATTTATCTTTTTTTCATCACATTCACATTTTCTTACCAACTAATAAAACTGTTGAGTGAAATTTTTGAGTGATTAAAATCTTATATTTAAATTTTAGATTTTTAAAATATTATATTCGATATTTTGATTAGTTGTTCTTAGGGCCACTCACATATCAATAAGAGATAGATGTTCGAGTGAAGTGAAGTGAGCGAAAAGTTTCGTTAAATAGATTGGGGGTGCAGGGGCAACGCCTCCGCGGTACGATACATGATAATTTTGTAATTTCAACAAGTGTTATATATTATATATATATATATATTGTATACGTAACCCTAAGAGAAATGAACTACTTCAAGAAATAATAACCGTCGCTCATTGCTCCCGAAGCTTAGCAATATTGTCGAACCTCATTAAGGGTCCGTTTGGGGCAGCTTATAGGTGCGGGAGACGTTTTCAAAAAGCCGTCGTACTGTTTGGTTCACTCGTTTCACCAGCTTATATGAAACTGCGTTTGAATTTTTACACGAAACGCATGCCGAGAGTCGACCCCTGTGGCCGATCAGCGGGCTATGTTTCAAAATAAGCAGCTTATCCTGAAATGCACAAGCTGCCCTAAACGGACTCTAAATCCCTAGTTTTACTTTTCTTGATTCTTGTGATTATTTGCTCTTCTTTCTCAGCAATTGTCATGTAAAAAGTCGTAGTTTCAATTAATTATTTTTATATCTACTATGGGAGTAAATATCTAAACATGGAATCATTTTCTCATCCACTGGTTTAAACTGAATATGGTTACTCATTTGGACAAAATTATTAATAAATTGTTTTTTTTTTCATGCATGCTAGTCATTGGCGCACGTTGGCTTATTTGAGGGACTAGCTATGTGTATCTACGAGAAAAATATTAAATCCAGTGGACCGCATGTCTGGATAATGATTCAGATATGATCATGTCGTTGTGTATCGCACGATGACCCATCTAGACTATTTTAGGACGTGCGGTCGCCGCTCATAATATTTTTTTATGTTTAAGCCTACAAATTAGTGTGAGGCTTAATACTTTTCTTTCTTAGTTTTTTTCTTCTATTTTTTGTGAGCTAAATTCCTTTTTGTTTATTTGTTGTTAAGTTGTTTAATCTGAAAATGTCAAGGAGGCACACACAAAGAATAGAGTGTCATAGAGAGAGAGAGAGGAGAATGAGATTAAAAGATATGAATAGCAAATAGCCCGTACCCTTTATTCGAGGTATAAGTTTTGAAATTACAAATATGTCCTCTAATCATTAGTCTCTGAGATGGCTCTTTTAGTACAATACTTGCATTAGATCTATTAAATGTCAAGGTTTATTTGACCGATGTGGTTCTCGACAATCAATGGGCGCACAGTCGATTGCTTTTGCTTGATCCGCCTCGTCGGCTTTTAGTCGATCGTCATGCCTCAGTTCGACCTGTTAACCTTGGGTCCTTTGTCGAGCATTTTTTAAGTGGCTCAATCTTGAGGCTTGACTTAAAGGGACTAATTGTGCTCTAGAGTTGTCGACCGATCAACAGGTTCCTCCATTTATCATCATTGAACTTGACTTTTGAATTTCCTTAAGATTCGCGTTGACATATTTTTCGTATATTGAATTTCATTTTAAAAACTATATTTATTTGCACATTTGTGGGTTTTTAGTAGGGTAAAACAAAGTAAATGTTGTGTCGAGTGTAGCGAGGATCAAATAGTCACCCATAGAATTCTCTTTCTAAGTAAATTGTATCATAAAAGAGATTTTATTTCACTATCTTGTTTATGTGTGCATGTTAGTTTGATACGTGCGTGTGTAAGTTTGTGTATATGTGTGTGTGCTCGCGCATGTATATTTATTTATGATATATGCATAGATGAATTTTCATATAATTTCATTTGTGATGTATGTATGTATATATGTAGAGGAGATTTAGTAATTTCAAATAAGATATTTGTTATAACAAAACTTATTTTATAAGTTAGTGATACATTAATGGAATATTGTGAGTACATTCAACTTAATTCCTTTGTATTTACATACATAACAACTAAAGTTCAATTTTTGCATATGTATCACATTTCATATGCATAAAAAGGTGTTTTCATTATTTAAAAATTGAAAAAGCTGTATTTTTATATGATAGTAAAGATTTTGATTGTCAAAATGTAAAAAGCAAATTTTAAGGTTTCGACATATAAATACATAGGAATTGGAGGGCATGTCTGTAAATGCCCCTAAATAAATTATTAGTGTACTTTAATTTCAATTATAAATAATAAAAAAAATCATGCATTCGTGATTATTGTGATTAATGACAAAAAAAATAGGAATGATATGTAATTTATGATAGTAAATAATTTTAATATATTAATTTTTAGTGGATGTCTAACTATATTATTTATGATTTATTTGGGTTGTTGTTGTTCTTTAAAAAGTAGTTGTGAAGTTACTTAAAAAAATTAATTTTAAAAAAATTTCAGTGACAATTACAATTTTTTTTTAAAAAAGTCTGATCCTAGCTAGAAATCTGTAACGACACATATCTATGACCGGTGAGAAAAACCAGATTTCAACGACAGCTTTTTGAAAGAACTGTCAAAACTCATATTATTCAGACAGACAAAACTACGGTGCGGTGACATTAGTTTATCAATAATTTATAGTTGATTAATATGTAATAGTTTATTCTACTCACATATAAAAGTAGAGAAAATTACCTCTTAAAAAAAGTAAAGTTCACTTAAAAAAAAGTAGATTACAAATAAGAGTTTACCTAAAGTTTCCATATAAAATTCACCCAAAAAATAAAAAATATATAACAAATAAAAATTTTCTCTTCCTTCATAGAAGAAATAGATGCAAATAAGAACATTATAGCATGTTGAGAGAGATTTTCGTGCAGGATGAGAGCTGATATATGACAATGTGAGATTATTCATTTTATTAAAAATTAATGTGTTTTATAAGTTTGAGCATAGAAAGACTTTCTTTTTTATATATAGCATTAGAGCACTCTAAGTTCGTTTTTTATCATTATATCATGCGAATCTATTGGAATCTTCTCCGACAACTTCTGAACAGATAAAGCTCCACGTCAGGAAGTCCCATTCGAATTTTAAAGTCTGCTGTATTCCACACGACGGGCTTCAATTGCAGACGCACAAGTTAGATGAGAAGTACGGGGCTTCATCTCGTGGGAAAAAAAAAAAAAAAAAAAAATTTTGAAATTTATATTTACACCATTGTCACGTTATAAATTTATTGATGTAAAAAATTTGAGTGTGTGCTCCTAAACCCTCCCAAATCGGTTAGAGTGTGTCATCAAAATCGTGGTAAATTGAAGCATATGAATTGAGTGGTGAGATATGTACATCTCCTCTGTTGAGTTGTCATCTCCCATGTTCGGTTGATTAGTGGAATGGAGTTCGATTTTTGGAATGTAGTATGGTTGACGACACTTAGTCCAGTTGACGGGATAAAGTGCGGTCGGTGAAATTCGGCTTACAGGTGTAAGAACCCCACTTGCGACAGTAGAGAGATATGATTATGAAGTTTGTTGTTAGAGAAAAATAGTATAGTAGAGTAAGTGAAGAAATAAGAGAGAGAGAGAGAGAGAGCTTGAGGAGAGGAGGTGATGGTCTCTGTTGAAAGTGGAGAAAAAAGCTCGCAGCTTGAGAGCTGATGGGGGAGTGAAAGCACGGGCTGCCTCGAAAGAAGAGGCATGGGGAGCCTGGGAAGGCTTGATAAGTTTGTGGGGAGAAGAGTTTCATGGCTACTATGAGGTGACGTCAGATGAATGCCTGAGAGGCGATGTGAGTACGAGTTGTCTTTGTTTCCTGGATCCGCTTTTATGCAATTTTCTGTTGTGTATTTTTTGCTATGAGTGTGTCACTGAAATAAAGTAAAAAATTTTGAGAAGTTGAATTCAAACACTCATCCAATCAAAATAATTAAGAAAACATAGTGTTTAGAGATTTCCTTATTTTTTTCAGTTTGTCCTCTAGAAGTGGCTCAATTTTTTTTTTAAAGTTTAGTGTTGATCCTTCCCTTTTAAATTCCGCTAAATGTGATCTCTCATCATCACATATCATTTATTAATATTTTGCAAATAATTTAACACGACACGAAATCTCTTTACCATTAGCAATATTTTAAATATGCATGAGCTAATTTATTCTAATTTTAAATATTTAACTATATTCTATTTTCAAATTATCTATTCTGTCTCACATTAAAGCTCATTTAAAAGTCATGTTGCAGAACGGGACTGAGGACATCTATCCTGAAAAACTCAATTTTTCACGTTCTTATTATGAAGCGTTCCGAGAAATTTGGAAAACGGGCTATCAACAAACTTATATTTTCCTGATGCTGCGTTCACTATGATTGAACAGAGTAAAATAATCATTCTCAAACGAAGCATAAAGTCGCCCATATAGCCACTATTATTTTTAAGATCATGTGATTATGTAGGGGAGAAAATTAATATTTATTTTTACAAAAATTATCATTATAGTTATAATTTTCAGAATAAATATTTATAGATGTTTAAAGGTCATATTCATGATTACTTTATTAGTGAGGTATGGAAAGGGAAATGTTTGGAAAATGGTGATATTTGACAAATAATATTAAAAAAAAAAACTCGAGCCACAAAAAAAATGCCAACCCAAAAAGCCAAAAACAATTAAGAGCTTTTACATTTTTGAAAACATTGTCATCATTTTTGACATTCCATATAGACATGACCTAAACAAATTACTTCGTTACGTGAAAATTTTATTCATAAAATTTAAATTAAAATCTAATTAATCATAATCATTTTCCAATTTATTTTAACCAAATTTTAAATGATTATTTTAAACTGTTTTTTTTATTTTGAAATAAATCCAAATTT